TCTTAATCTTGGTTTTATTATTAAGAGTGTTCATTGTAGGGTCTTACTGTAAACACTATTTTATAGTTAGCCATATCTTGAGTGTCTTATTCTTATTATGAGAAGTTCTAGCTCACCTCCCACTGATATCTTGAATCATTTTTTTAATTAATCACAATCTCTCTTTGGTGATTGAGCTAAGAGTGGTTGATATGGCGACCAAAGAAGGGAGTGAGCATGCATCATTAACTACTGATTTGTAAAGAGCTCTTCAAGATGGTGCTTGGAGAAATATTGCACTAGGTCTCCCTATTGTCATGGCCTATATTATGTTGCAAATTCATGGTTGATTCTCTAATATGGTTAAAGTTATTACTTTGCTTAGTTATAAATCTATCTTTGTTAATATGAGCCAAAAAATTCTTGTTTGGCATTCATTCTTTTATTATGAAATTAACTTTTCACTAACTCTTTAAGGGGCTATAAAAAAAAGTTGTGTTGAACTTTGAACTTCTATTTTTTGCCTCTTTAGACAAAACCTCATCCTTGAGGAGCTTTTATAGGAGAATTAACTTTTCACTAACTCAAATGAGTTACAATGAAATGTTGATCAAGAAATTCCTATGGAAGATTGATCAAAATGTGATTGTATTTTAAAGTATATTTATGACCATCCTCTCTTTTTTTTTCTATAGGGTAGGATATGGTTTAACATGAACATGATGCTGACCCCCTATAGTATATTTTTGATACAAGGCTTCATATGATCTTTATTTATAATTCTGATTGAACTTGACATAAAGACAAACCAAACCTAATGGAATTGCTATTGTTTCATTGAAATTGTTGTTGCATTTTCCCTCTTCACATTTACTTGTTTTTCAGGGACAATCCAATTGTCTTCCATGTTATATTATTAAATCCGCATCATTTACAAGTTAATATTGCTTGCTATATAATATATAGCACTTAAATAAGAAAAAACTTATTGTAAGTGTTCCGTTTTTTTTTGTATAAGTTAGAATGGATTTTAACATAGGCATGATATTGCTCTTACCCTCATGATATATTTTTTGATTTGCAATGCCTTATGACCTTTGTTTATCATTTGATTTGTACTTGACATAAATATAGACCTAAATTAATGGAATTATTATTGCTTCTTTCGTATTTTTGATGTTCGTAGTCCCCCTAGATATTTACTTTTTTTCCATTGAAAATTCTTTTGTCCTTCATGTAAAATTTTTGAATGCTCACCTATTAGTGTGACAATTATATGTAATATCTTGTGGATTACATATAAATCAATATAGAGAGAGCTCCCACTGTTAGTACCCCTATAATTACATGAAAACTGTAACATCTTAAAAAAATTAACCCTTAATTAGCTGAATTAAATTAGTGTAATTAAGTAAATTAATGTGATGTATGGTTACAGAGAGCTAATGGATGTTATGGGTTGTGATTCCAGCCCTAGAAGTGATTCTAGAGCAAAGTTAAGCTACCAGAATGTCAAAAAATGAGAAAAATAAAGGAAAATGGATTTGTGCCATATGCTGCTGCACATAAGTCATCAAAACACAAAATCTCATTTCTGTACCACAAGCCACACGAGTGGTGCATGCACCACGGTGCATGGTCGTGTTTTTGTAGAGATCAAAACGTGAGATAGACATAAAATAAAGGAGAAACAAAAAAGGAAACAAGGAGCACATGAAAACCTCTACTAAGACTTGGGATTTTAAAGCTTCCAAACACTAAAGGTAATATTCCTAAACTCTTTTGTTCTCTCCCTTTTGCATTTTCTTGAATATAAAAGTTAGGGTTTATTAGAAAAGATGATTTTCAATCCACGGAGATTATGAGTCTAAATCTATTGAGTTAAATAGAGTTAATAAAAGTTATTTAGGTTATTTAATCTAGAATTTATGGCATTGTGAATTTTGGTGGGGTAATAAATACCTAAAAATCTACCAAAAAATGAGGTGGTTTGAGCATTGTGAAGCCATTAATAGCTTGTTGAGAGTTCAATAAAGTTAATGTGAATTAAAAGACGCTAATAAACCTATGGGTACTCTTGTGTATGAGGAGATTGAGTTGTGAGAATTGAAAAATATTGATTTAGATATTAAAAATTTATCCAAAAAGGCATTGTGATTTAAATGACGCTAACGAACCTATGGGTTCTGTATCACACGTGGAGTATCATGTAGCATAAACCGCAGTGCGTAATTTTGTTTAGGCAAAGATTACTATATTGATATTTTGTCTAAATATAGTAGTTATGCATTCCCAATCACTTCCATTGTGTATCACATATACTTCCTCCTTTCAAAAATGTAAGGCATTTTTTGAGGAGTTAAATGTTCAAAAATGACATTTTTAATCTTTCGAAGTATAATCATTGTTTTTTTTAAAGTACCCCTGTCCCTATTGATAATGAATTTATATTTATTGTAGGGTGTTTAATAGAAGTAAATATAGAAAGATAAGGTTAGTTGAAAAGTAGATAACTACTTTATTGGGGGTGAGATTCGGTTAAAAATATCTTATATTTTTAAATGGAGGGAGTATATAATTTTGAAAATTTGTTACTAAATTTTGGGATCTCTATTTTTGAAATAAATTCATGTAATTTAATAACTAGTGGTTAGTTTGGTATGCGTGCATGAGTTTATAATGTCTGATAGACGGGCATTACAAGCTTTGCACTCAAGCCATATTCTTTTCACCCTAATCCATAACCCCTCCAGAACTATTGCACCTCAAGCTAGGCCCTTTACACCCAAGTCATAACCCTTGCACCTTAAGTCATAACCCTTACACTTCAAGTCAAAAACCTTGCATCCTAAGCCAAAAACCTAACACCTTAAGCTAGAAACCTTACATCCAAGTTAAAACCTTCTCACCCTCTAGTCGTTGAGTTTACATGTAATCCTTAATGATTCTATGTAATCAAAAGATGTTGATGTTTTTTCTAAAGACCCTTCACCTATCGATCAAAGCTTTAACAAGCACACCATCACTTGTTAGAGGAGAGACTAGAACTCTAGTAGTTGGATTTTGTGCCTTTTTGAAAAAGAAAATTAACACAGATGGGCATTTCAATTATTTTCTCAAATTATTTGATGATTAAAATATTACCATTGGTTCTTCAAGTACATTTGGTCCTGAGAGCAATTTTGCTTCTAACTAAATCCTTTTAACCAACTCTCCCAAAAAATTATTCTCTTCTTGCTTTATAAATAAAATTGAAAGGAGTACTAGGTCATTATCATTGCCATTATATCATATATATATATATATATATATATAACATAGGGCTTTTGTAGATATAGTATATATTATAGGATCAAACTAAGTAGCCCAATATTTATTATTTTTTGCATTATGGTTGGTTTATTATATTCCTCAATAATATATCATTATATATTAATAATAAACCTCTTGTATATTAATGTGAACCGGTCACAATTTTAAATTTTCAAAAATTTAGTCCATATTTTCTAGGTATGATTTTTTTTTTTTTTTGCCAATGGACTAATTTATCCTATAACATAATCATTCAAATTGATACTTTCGCGTGTCTCCAGCTGACTCTACTCTATTTTCAATGTTCAGCTTATGCTATAATGTCGGCTCTTACATGGGATTCCATGCAAATTCAGCTCAAGAAAAACTTCCTCTTTTCATTTTTAAATTTTCAAATCTCCTTCCATCTTCTCAATTTTAAAAAAAAAAATTAAAAAATTGATCCCTTCCTTATACTGGTCTCTTTTTCCCTTTTGTTTGTTCCCCCTTCCCCTCATCTTTCTCTCTCTTTTGCATGCAAGTATTAAAAACATCAGGCTTTGTGTAGAGAGTCACTTCTTTTATATCTCCTTTAGAGGATAGAGGTGAATAAAAATTACTTCGAATTTCAAGTCTTATCATAAATCACAATGACGTATCAAATTTATCACAAATCTCAAAATCTCGCATCTCTCTTTTTAAAGCTGTTCTTTTTCTTTTCATCACTAGCTTGGTTGAACTCTCCAGCTTTGATCTCACTCTCTCCTTTACTCACTACCAGAGACACATCCACCCGGGGGGGGGGGGGGCAAGCAGTGGTGCTTCCACCAGGTACAAAAAATTGGTTAAATTTACTTGATTTTTATTTGTTAAAAATGTCAAAATTAATTTTGGCCCCCAATAAAACTGGTTTTAGATCTGGCCCTGCTCACAACCTCTCGACTTCCCTGTTCGTATTCCAGAAATATGAGGATGGTGGAGAAATCTTGTGAAGATGTTGATAACGAAGAAACAACGGTAAAGATTACGAGATGGCAAACGACGGGGATGTGACAATGATGGTAATATCGTTGCTATTGCCTTTCTTGCCACCTCTCACAATTTACAACTTATTAACAACTAACATTAATGATACTTATGACCAAACTTTATAACGTGCAACAAAGTTACATTGTCAACCAAATAAGGGCATTTTCGTCTATTTATTTTTTAAAGTATTGATCCTTCTTTGTCATCTCACAAATTCAAGATTTTGCAGTATTATTTTTTCTTCCAATGGTCCTTAATGTAAATTCTCTGATTCTCCAAAAAAAAAAATAGTAATTAAAGATAAAAAAAATTAAAAATAATTCAAGAAAGCACCATTCAAACAACTTGTTTTGAAAAAGATAATAAATATTTCATGATTAAAAAATCATTAAATGTAATATATCTACATTATTTATACTTGCTACTCAATTTTATTATATATATTTCTGACTCTTCACACGTCTTTCCCTATGCTTTTAGATATAGCTATCCATAAATCATGTCTTGGAAATACTTGATAACGGATCATGAGACAAACGGTTAAAAGTTCGAAAAATAAAAGAATAATATGTGAGCGTGGAGAAACGGAGCTGACCAATGTGTCCCGAACTGCTGCTTTTCTTGACTTTCACCAATTTCTTGTAAAATAAAAGGTTTCAAAAATGTTGATCAGAAGAATATGAATCCTGCTAAAATCTCCGTAGATAAAAGATCATTGGCTTTAATATGCTACAACTATGCCAAGAATTCACTACTAACGTGCAATTCGTATCAAAGTTTTTAGAGGGCATCAAACGATTTACATGATACATGCCATTAATCCTAGAAGTGAAACTAAGCGGCATATTAATTTCTCACCACCGAGGAGACCACATGTTATATGTTTATTTAGAAGTAAAAAAAATTACACACACACACACACCCAATTCCGTGCCCCAGCAATTTTATTGCCAATTTTGGCAACGAACAAATTTACACTCTTACTCTCTTGCTCTGACGTCGCTTTTACTCAGCAACGAGGAGGGGACATTGATCTTGACCTTTTAGCTCTTTCAACTTCACTACGCATTGCTGACAGAATTGCTCTTGTTTACGCCTTGCATGTCCATAGGGGAGTTTGTGATACTACCAACCGACCCTAGGGTCTGAGAGCTCAACTGTGGACTTGCTGGACATGGTTCAGGATTACCAGCACTCATGGGATGGATTGCCCCTGAGCTCAACTGTTGTGGGCTCATCGGAGTTCGTTGGTTCATTTGCTGTGGGTTCGCTTGTTGCTGTTGGGTTTGTGGATTCAGAGGTGGAACTCCCATGGCAGAGGGTGAGCCCACCTGGGGGGGTGAAACAACTGCCTGCAATGGTGAAGTTGTTTCCTGCTGCTGTTGCAATTGTTGCTGCTGCAGCTGCTGTTGTAATTGTTGCTGCTGCAGTTGCTGTTGTAATTGCAATTGCTGTTGCTGCTGTTGTTGGTGTTGCTGCTGCTGCTGGTTCATATAAAGATTTATCCCTGTCATCGACTTAGGAGGAGCCATATGTCCTACTCGTTGTAGTGGACTCATATTAGCCCTATTCAGTGACTGGCCCAACATCGAAACATTAGCAGAGCCAGGGTGCATTTGTCTGGCTCCCGCAATGCCCCCTATGCTAGACTGAGGAGTCCCTAACCCACGTGCATACCTAAACCTTGATGTCAATAATTCAGCCTGTGCTGGAGTCATTGTTCCAGTCCGCAATTGCTGGCTTATTGCATTACTAATACTTGCAGCCTGACTAAGATTCATTGGATTTTGACCCATATTCATGCCAGGCATAGATGCCATTGGTGCTGGGATTCCAGTTCCTCTTGCAGCTCCCATATTCATAGAACTTCCCAAGCCTCCAAGTCCAACCATGTTTCTAAAGTTTCCAAGTCCCATCATCATTTTCCTCTGCAATTGTGGCTGCTGCTGCTGCTGCTGTTGCTGCTGCTGCTGCTGCTGCTGCTGCATCAGCTGCACCTGGTGATGTGAAGGCTTGTTAACCATGTGATTGCCCATCTGCATGTTGGAGTTCTGCCCCATTGCACCTAAGTGTGAAAGTGAATTTGTCCCAAGCATCACTGAAGATCTTGGAAACTGTGGATTTTGTTGTTGAAGTAGCGAGTGCTGATTTTGTTGCAGTTGTTGCTGCTGCTGCTGCTGCTGCTGTACTGATTGTTGTGGGTCCACTTGCTGTGGCCTTGGAGCCATTGAAACACCTGACATATGTCCTTGTGACATCTGCAGGGCCTGAGGGTTTCCAGGTGGCAACATTCTTGCATTTGGTAAATGGTTCTGAGATGAGTTTAGAGAAGGATTGCCACTAGCAGATGGCTTTACAATGTCATTGGATGACTGAGAAGGAATTGATTCTCCATATTGCTGCATTTCAATCGCAGGATTATGAGTTACAGTAACTCCACTAGGTTGACTGCCTGATGGATGGTTCACACGATTTGGTTTTGGTTGGATGAGATCGCCATCATTCATGTATCCTTCCCGCTCCATCTGCATTAGGTGGATTAAAGTACTCAACATACATGCATGCATATATAGAGGAAAGATTTATTTTTTACACTAATTCAGAAAGAGAGAGACATACCAGTAAACTGAACTGCATTGCTAGTGAATCCGCAAAATGCTGGTTCAACAATTGATCACATCAGTCAGAGCAATAAACTTGCAGCAATTACACACACACACACACACACACACATATATCAGGAAGATCCATAAATAAAAATCCACCAATCAATTTAATTAGACCTCCAGGCCAAATAACTACAAAATAACGTTAATTAAGTTAAAATTTCAGTTGTTTACTACAGGAAGACTTCATGGTCATTTATTTCTCTAGTGTAAAAGTTAATTCACTGGTACTTGTTTTCATAAGATCAGATTTTCAGAGGTGAAATAAGTAGGCTTTTTAAGGGATAATTAATGCCAGAATCTGAAAAAATCAGTTACTTCACTAAAAGTGGAGAATCTCGCAGTACAAAAACAAACATATAAAAAAATAACCCCTGAGACAACACCCTACATCTATTTATAAAGTGAACTGTATGATAATAATAACAACAACAACAACAACAACTCTCAAGCACTACAACCTGACATGTCTGCCCATTGCCTAGTCGTGGGTAAGAGATATGATTACTAACAATAAGACTAAGGAGCTGGTTTATAGAAACTGGTATATATCTCTCAACATTTTGTATAGGGAGCAAAATGAGGAAGCCCATGTCCTGGCCAGCACGGAATACATATGTAAATTTTTGTTCTTTTGAACATTATCCTCTTTTGGAGGTGGATAACGCTTGTCTTGTTTTCTTTGCTGCCTTGTTGTTTAGTTGAATGAAGTTTTTCAGTTTTTATTCAGAAAAAAACGAGGTAACCACCTCATTCTCCCACAGAATCCACTGCTGCTTGGAACATTTCTTCAACAAAATAGTGGCAATAGAGTTCAAAGTTTGAACTAAGAGACCAGACTATAGAAAGAGTTAAAAGGGAAAGGATATAGGACATTAATGATTTTCTTGCTGAGGAAACTGGGAAATGAGAAACATAAAAATATCAAAAAGAAAAGAAGAATGTTGATGATTCAGTGAATGATAGAATGATAATTAGTAATACCAATAGCCTGACAAGCATTAAAGTGCAAGCCTCACCCCCAAATTTTTTCTCTGTTTTACTTAAAGCTCTTGAATAAGATTAAATGCTTTTTTCAGGTCCGTATAGTTCCATTTTCCATTCATTACCTAAAGTCTAAGAATGTGTAAATAGATCCTTATGATTTTTAACATTTTATTATAGTCCCTGTCATAAAATTCCATTTCCATAAGTGTATTTGTTAAAACATTTTTACACATTGTCAAACATATGCAGCCTTGAAACTTCAAATATGTGTGGTTCATGCCAGAAAATCCCACTCACTTGATATTAGTAGCATAATTTGTTATAAAATGTGATTTAATTTGTTATTGACACAAATTGTATTTTCAGAGTGCCAAATAGCATATGATTCACCATGCAACAAAATTTAGTAGCGTGCTATTAAAGTTTAAAACATTAAATTAAAAATTTTCAACTACAGGGACAAACTTGAATATCAAATCAAACCATCACCACTAAAACAATAATTTAACTTCAAAATTATTAGATTCGTAAATAATGTCAATTTCATGAGATAAGAGGACAACTAGTTACTTGAGAAAGAATAACTTCATTTGTAACTACTCATCTCTCATGAATATGTGAAGGTTATTCTTTAAAATGTTAAAGTTGGTGAGTTAAAAATAATGACGACAATAATAATAATGAGTAATTAAATTTTATTAAATTAACATTCTAGTGCTCATTTTTTTAATTAAAGTTGTGTGAAAAAGCTACCAAAATGCAAAATAACTAAATAGGACTGCAAACTATACAATATAGATTATGGCAGCTAATTATACATGTACCACATAAGGTTATGTCAGGTGCGCAAATGAAATGAAATGGAGAGGAGAATGGAATTAAAAAAAAAAAAGAAATAATTTTATCCATGAGGCAAGTTACTTCTGCCTTTACATTTAAAATAAAAATATATTAAAAAAAAGGAGACAAAAAAAGGGACAAGTACTATTCAGAAATGATAACAAAAGTATAATATTGTATCTCTTGATTTTTTTTTTTTTTTTTTGCAAGGGCAAGGAAATCTATTTCCTGTATGCAAACCAAATGGACCCTAACAAAAATAACAGAATAGCCAAAGGGATGTACCACCATAACTTTGAGGATCCGAATCCTTAATACTGATTTCATGGTCAAATTAAGACATACGCAAGGAATTAAAAAAGATGAGGTATAGTTGCAATGGGATAAAATGGAAAAGGGTCCCCCAAGAGGACATAAAACTATAGGTAGGTGGTAAAATGAAACATAGCATTCCAACTAAAGCCAGAATGGTTGAAACAGAATAGATTTGATTAACTTCACATGTAAATCCTTAAGATTATGAAAAATATGTAGTATATAATGAAACTCACAGCATTAGGTAAGGTAGGAAGATGATCCTCGACAGCCAAAAAATCATCATCTTCGATGTCTCCATAATGCATAGCAACAGTACCATCAGATGGCTTCTCAGACATGATTAACCTCGTTCGCAACTTCGGAACTAAAGAAACATTGCCTGAAGAAGGAAATGGAATTACAGACAAGCAAGAAACTGGACTGAATGTTACAAAAGGCAAGGGCCAGGCCACCTATTTCAACTTACCTTGAACTACATTGACTACACGCTCAGGCAACCAGAAGCTTAAAATTCTTATTTTGCTGACATTCATACTGCCACCGACAAGTGACTTTGACAAAGACTTTGGATCATCTTTCAATGCCTCGTTGGTGGATGCATTAGCTAGACAGACTGCTATGTTCTGTGATGAATACGAATTTGGCTTTCTTATGGGATGATAATCATCAACCTTGTTCTTCTTGGAGTTGAGTTGATGCCTGACAAAAGTTGGTACATTATGCCAGGACCAAAAAAAATAAAGAAAACATCACAAACAGACACTTCCATTACATATGAAGAAGGGAGCAGGAGTCTTGCAAATAAAAAGAAGATCAAAGAAAAATAGAGACGGTAGCATGTGGAAACTGAGTCTTGTCTGATCCCCTGTTATGGTAAGGGTTCGGAAAAATAATGCCCGATTGAAAAAGTAAAATTAACAGAAGAAAAAAAATATATTAATAGTATGGTGTGCCATATACTAGTACAAAAAGAAGTATCACTCATGTCATTGATGAAACATATATAATAGTCCATGTTAATCTCAATGATAAATTGGCTTTGGAAGTTCAGAGGCTAAGGATTGTGCAAAAATAACAATTAATTAAAAAAATAATGATGCAGCTTTAAGAGTATAACAGCATACCTCGATGTCACCATTTCCAATTTTGAGAACCTTTCAAGGATAGATTGATCAACCGAAGCTGATGTCCCAACCGAGGGGCTATTTGCATTTAATGGCACACTAACGTTATTAACACTGGTAGGAGAACCTACTCCACTCATTGCTGGGGTCTTGGGAAGGGAATTAGCCCTCCGTTTTACAGCTGCTTGCGCCTGGTGTTGCCTTTGTGTAGAATCATTAGCACTGGAAGTCAAAGGTGGAGTCCCCACAGCAGTAGGAAATGACATTACTGCTTTATCTTTTTGTGATCCCATTGCTGCAGCTGCCGAAGCTGGTCCAAAACTGGGTCCAACTGAACCATTAGAAAATTCCCCTGATCTAGAAGATAAAGGGGATTGAGCTAATGCTCCAGCAGATAAGCGAGGACTCTGCACTGGTTTCCTTCTCTGGTGCAGGTCATCTTTTCTTGCTTCTTTCTCTATATGCTGACCCAGATTATTCCAGGTTGTCTGAGAGAAATTAGATCTCATGAATGCATGCTGTGGTAATCTTTGCTGAAGTCGCGACTGTTGAGGATCCAAAAGGTTTGCATCCATTTCCATCTGCACTTCACTTTTATTCCGGTTGATCTCTGAGACATCTAATTTATCCAATTCAAACTGCTCTTCCTTAGCAACCATGAGCATTGGCTGCTGACCAGCAGCATACTGAACAGGCCCCGCGTCCTGATTCAACCTTCCTTCAAAAGCCTGTTGCGGAAACTTCTGAATGCCAGTACTTTGATACTGGATTCCTCTAGACATCACCTGTGATTGTTGTAATAATGTATTTTGCCAATTAATATCCGACCCTTTAAGGGCATCAACATGCAGTCCTATTTGTGACTGTTGCGCTCCATCAGTAGGCCTCATTCTTTTAGGGAAATTGGATAAAGGTGATGTTTGTCCATCTTGATTCTCCCTTTTCCCATGAAGTGAGGAACCTGAATTGGCATTATCACCATATGAAACTATGATGTCCTGTGCAGCTGGGGAAGCTCCTGATGCATTCATAGCAGAAATTGAGCCATGCTCCTGCAAGCTTCTTGGAGTTCCAACCCCCATTTGATACCTTGATTGATGGGACATCATAGACAAACCAGATATCGAGGGATCTGATACAAAGCTTTTAGATAAAGACATGGCACTGCTTGCACCAAGATCTTGTGCAGCCAGATTTTCATGGGTCTGCTGTATAGCATTAGAAGCAATGATTCCAGGCTCTACCAACCTTGTGGTTGAGCTTTCTGGTACTCTATCTATGCAAACTTTCTTGCCATGGATTTTATGGCTAGAAGTAACAGTAAATTCTGGAATCTGCCTTAATCGCTTTCTCCGCAAACTACTGAGGCTTATATTGAGCTGCAAAATGAAGTTCGACATAGATGAGATGTTTAAGGCCACTTGTTAAGCATAAAAAGAAAGGCCACATGTTAAGTATACAAAGAAAGGCCCATTTATTTATACCTTTGTGGGAACTGGACCATCACATAGTCGATCTAACCTGGGAGTAGGATCTAGATGGAGTTGTGGTTGTAATGCTTTCAGTATCTTGGACTCAAATTCCTACCATCAACACAAAATACAAACATAGATAAGTAAAATTAATATGCAATAAATGATAAGATCACGGAACTTCTCACAGATCATCAATGAAAGGAAGATCATCCTCACCATGAAGTCACCATAAGTCCAAGATTTATTTGAAATCAAAGGAATGTCTTTCACAACATTCTCCAATGACATCCTGAGACGAACTTTACTGACAGTAGGGGAAACATCAGTAGAAGCAAGCCCAGACCCTTTATCAAAAGAGCATCTTCGATAATCACGCACCTGGAAGGTTACACAATTCAAAGCTCCATCTTGTGAAAAGGTGTGTACAGAGAAAAGTAGATATTAGATGGCCATAAAATTTTGAAAATGCCAATTATTCAAAGTCAAGCAAAATTTCCTCTGACTACAACATGGCAGCAAATTTTTTCACATGCATGGTGAATATTGTGCACGATTGCATAAGAAATAGATAAGAAAAATTTTGAAGGGCATAACAAAGTAGACTCACCTCACATATAAGTGCTCCATCAACGTACTTGCATGGTATATCATCAAGAATGTCTCCAGGCAAATGGCCTGACTCTATAGCCTGTGATAAAACATTAAATTGAAATAGCAGTATAAGTGCGTGTGAGCAAAAACCCATGGTAGTACTTGGATAAAACAAATATAATAGAAAAGGAACTTCGAGCAACCAAAAGGAAAGTGCCCAAACTACAGGTTAGTTTCTGGCTCTATTTCCATTTCTGTCCTCCAATAACAGTTACAAAAAGCAGACTTAAGTCGCTCTAATATAGTAAAACTAAACTCAGATAATGAAGCCAATAATAGCCATTTTTTTAGAATCGTTCAAACCAAGCCAGCAATCTTGAAAGCTTAATATGAGAAAATTTCAATATGCATGAAGATATTTGATATACAACGATATGAGTATAAAGTGTTTGATATCTCATTCAAAGATTGTAAACATTTTTAAAATAATGTAGCTAAGCATGCTGCTTGAAGAGTTTAAACTAAAAGAATGAGGGAATTAAGAAAAATTATATAACAGCCTTACCAAAAATAAACTTTCTGACATCCTATCATAGGGATGTAACAGCTTTGGAAACTCTTGATATGTAGATTGATTTGCTGTCTCATTCTGAAAATTCATAATTTTCTTACAATTAATAATAATTTAAAGTGAAGCAAGAATAACCTTTAATTCAGGCAATTTCATCAATTTCAGCAGCAAAGCAATAGTTCTGTAAAACAAACCTCCGATGGTTTTCTGATAGAATAACCATCTGGAAACAGGTTCAATGTGAAAGAAGCTTCACCCTCTGCCAAAACAACAAGAACCACAACACTTAGCATTGACACACAAGTTAGGCGGCCAATACAGTTAATGACTGACCTGCAATTGAAATAGGGCCAGATGAAATGGACACATCAGGCACCCAAGCAATCTTATCACCAGACTCAACAAGATTGTTCTGTATCAAAGGAAATTTGAAATCATTAGAAAAGGAATTTAAACACCAAAATGGTGAGTTATCCCCACTTTTTGTATTGATACTTTAATCAAATTTAATCATAATACAGAAAAGTACAAATATATGCCTGCTAGGAGAATGTTTGTCACAGTAAACGAGAACATAGCAAGTTGACAATCTTAGGTGCTGCAAACACAGAGAACTACAATCTTTTTTTAGTCTTAAATATTATACATCCCATCCCTTTTCTAGTCGCATTCCTCAATATTGACAGAGACTCAAAAACACAGATACAGCAAAAAAATTTCCCTAATGAATATTAAATTTAAATACAGCTAATAAACGAAAGGGATTGCCGTAAAACTATCAACTATTAAAAAAAAATGTTTTTAACTATTAAATCTTCTAGTTTTATAACAAGATGTTCACGGCTAGCCCCCTCATAAGTTCCTACCATAGCTAGACCTCTTCAATAGCATCCATCAAAGCGTCGGCTAAGAAAGCAACTACAGAACCTTTATGGTTCCACAGAAGTTAAAATACTAACACGGCCAAAACCTATCAATAATATTTGAATAGATGATGCGTTAAGCTAGATCACCAGGAAGATTAACGATCTATAAAAAAATTTCCTTAACTTCGTTTTCCTTTTTCTCTTGAAGCCCAGGGCTAACAAGCACCAAATCTTAAAAAAGTCGTGCTTTTTCTTAGTCTCTGGTGAATTATCAAAAAAAAAAACACACACACACACACAAATAAAACTCTTATTTCACCCTCCAATTCACGACTCAAGAGGTATTTCCTCATCTTCTGCGTTCCCAGATAACCCACTTGAATTCACATCTTACCTGGGGCCCTCGTCGTGAGAATTCGTTCTTGGAGGCAACAGCTCGGGAGCTAGACTTGGAATTTTCCGACGCGCCGTCCTCGGAAGCTTCGGATAGAAGAGGCTTTGGGCGAAACCTAGAGCCAGTCTTTGAGACCTTGAAGGAGACACCCATAATAATGGATCCACTAAAGAAATTTCGTGAGGCAATTGAAAGTAGTTGGGAGAAACGAAACCCTAGGAGGAACGTCAGTTGGGTTCATTCATGCATCTTTTTTTTTTTTTTTGGGATAAACTTCATTCATGCATCTGCGGAATTAACTGAAAACAAGAGGAGGGAGAGACGCGGGGATCGCTGAAGCTCTTCTGCAGAGAAATAATGACGACGCAGATTCTCGTTCAGTTACGAGTTACGACCCGAGTCCAAAAACCTCAACGTCCTGTTCCTTTTTTTTTTTCGCACACTCGTCACTTAATTAGAGAAACTAATCAGCTATCCAACGACCGAGAGGTCAGTGATGTATTTGGGATTTGGGAACTGGGAAGTGATGGGACAATTGGGAAATATCAACGTTACATTGATACGTTTATACAAACAATTTGACTTAAGAATGAAGATACAACAATTTAAATCAAGAAATAATTCAACATGTGTGTTAAAAGAGGATAACTTGAACTATGGACAATGCTGCGAACTTCACATTTATTTTACCGTTCAAATAAATATGATTGGCTTGGTGATTCATGATAAAATAAAAATGGAAGAACTTGTATTTTGCATTATTATTTAGGAACATATCATCACACTATAATATGAGATATTTTTTAAAAATTTTACTTGATTTAAAATATAAAACATTGAGTAGCTTTTATAGTTATTTTTTTAAAATATATCTCTATTTTATTTATCACTCTTTTTAAAAAAATAGTGTATTATAATTTAAATTTCCATTATCAAAATACTTATATATGATATTTAATGAAAAAAACAGAAAAATGTAAATTTTTTTAAAAGTAAGGCTTCAACCAACATTTTTTTTATAATTATGAATTAACTATTAATGTCTTATATTTTGATTTAGAAAGAATAGTCTTTTAAAAAAAATATGTTGACGAAGCTTGCATTATCTCATATCATGATAGAAATATTAAAAATTTTAGAGAATCGAGATCATTTGTCATCTATATTCTTTAAGTCTGGCTTCTCTCTAACCACATTCACTAATGGCAATAATGAGCTGCTTCTCATCACTTTAATCCCTGGTCCTTTTCTTGTGTTTATTTGATCTATAATTCTCTCTCTCATTTTGGTTCATTGTTACCCCTTTGGGCATCATCATTACCCTTGTTTTCACCAATAATGAGACGTTTGACTCGCAACAATGCCTTACAATATCAATTGTTAATGATTGTTCTCAGTCTCCCATTTTCTATTGCGATTCTCAAGCACAAGTTTAATTTCTATTACCTTTTACTTCATCTTCTTCCATATCTAAAAATAAATTTATCAATCTTCAAGTTTGTGATTTTTGTATTGCCTTTAAATTTCTACTTCATCCTCTTATCTATTGTAATATGGTTGAAGCTTGACAATGAAAGGAAGCTTGGAATAATAACATTCAAAGATTTTGAAAGGCAGTACATTAGAAGTCTTGATATTTTTTAAAACACAATGAAAAACTTGCAAATAATTAAAAATAAGAAGCAATTCAATTTATATAACTAATTTATTATGGGTTACATTTTATAAAATCAAACTGAATTGTTTTCATGTGAATTGGGATTTTCCAATCCGACCTACACTTTACATGTTACTAGATTATACGGGTCAACTTATCAATCCATCATTTTTCCCTATATATTTTAATAATTTCAAAAATCTATTATTAATTCATCTAATTCACGTAAACCACTTTAAAATTCGCATAACCCACACTATTTGTTTATTCTTAATTTTTCCAAAAAAACAATTTAATATAGGACAAATCTTTTTTGACTCAATTTTTCTCTCCTTGAGTCTTGACCGTTAGGTTTTTTAACTCAAACAACGATTATGTCTTCACTTGTAGTTTCAAGAATTTAGGAGCTTTTGGAGTATTTTTCTTTTGTTGCGGTGGCCTTGAATGTATTTTTCCCTAGAAGTATCAAGCCCAGGATCCAGTCCGGGCCGAAAATCTTGCATCAGCCCATAATGATAAAAATGAACTTATCATCAAGGTCTCTGTAATCTTATCCAACGTTTCTCATTTGTACAGCAATGACACGCGTGCTCCATTGCTCGTGCTTCCTTACGCGCCCTCGCCTCAGGCAACCTGTGCCGGGAGACCAATTTTCGCGAAACCAGCTCAACGGTCCTGGTCAGTGCTCGCACACAGCCGATCACAAATCACAATCGCCTACCTTTTATATTTCTGCCTGACTTATCATGAGTTTCGTGCGTCTGCTTTGCATGCCTGGTGTCATTATAGTGTTTTTGAGCTGAGCCTTCGCCAATCAACTCAAATTTCTTCCATGTCAATTGGGTTTTCATGTTGTTCTTTACTAGGCGGTGCTCATTGCAGGTTGCCCGTTGAGGCAGTCATATAAAGTGAAGGAAATGATTGTTTGTTGCTACCCCTTTTTGTCTATTCTTTCAGTAAATTGTTGACTTTTTTCGAATCATTGATCGACGTTGGAATTCATTTTTTCTGTCTTTCTCATGACTACGGAAATTTCGATGGTGCTGACTTTCTTTTTTCTGACTCATTTTCTACCATTTTGTAAAAAAAAAAATAGGAAAATTAGTGTGCTAATCTTCGGCATGGTTTAGTTTTTAGATGGTTGGGATTTTTATAATATTTAAAGTTGCACCAGGGTTTTCTCATCTTGCAAGCAAATATCCTCGTTGCTGCTGCCATTCGTGAACTGCTCACTAAGCTTATAAATAAATAACTAAGGTGAGAAATTGCTAGATACTCATGGAATTATTTACTTATGCTTCTTGAGCGAATTAGGAAAATTGGCTTGTCCTTCTTTCAAAGTGAAGAAGTTTGTGCGGCACCGTAAAGATACATTTCATGGGCATCCTGAAATTCAAAGCGTGCTCTCCTACTCAAACTGTCAGGTACGATGGTGAGTTACAGAACACCTCTTGCTCTGTGGATGCATTTTTTCCTTCTTACAACAGATCCAACTTTGAATTTTGTTGGCTTCTTTCTTGATTCATTTTTGTTACTGCATCCTGTTGATTCTCAATTGTTTTTTGATTGAATATTTAATAACTCTATAATAGCAACTCAGAACTCGGAGGACCTTGTAAACTGTTCAAAGAAAGAAGTGCATTGTGCTCCAAATTTAGTTTTATATACCATAGTTTATGTTCTCATAATGTTTAAGATCCCTCTTCGCTCATCATTATTTTGGCATCTGACTGTAATTGTATGCCTTGTTAGGAAGACATGGACCAAAGGTTTGCATCACTAAAATTTCTTACCAGCGATGTTTTAATGTTCTATATCCCTTCTCAAGCCTTAGCTGAAACATGTGAGCTGATAACTCTTTTTTTAATATGCCTTTGCTGCTATCAGTAGCTCTCATTGGAGCCACCGTTGGAGGTAAGGTAGTATGTGCTTCACTTACACCTTCATATTTTTTTTCAGGTTACATTTTTGGATTTGACTTTGGTCTGGTGATTTATTTTATTTGCTCCAAAAAGAGCTACCATTCTACTTAATAGTGTATGTATGCATGATCAATGCCTATCTCATACAGGAAGCCAGCGTGAAAGCTAGATTTTTGGCTGTGAGCCTGAAATGTCTCTTGAAAGACAATTTGTTTGGTTTTTAAATATCTTCAAGCTTTTGTCTAAATTTTATGCAGCAAAGGTCTTCATTATACAGCAAAGAGGAAATTAACCCTATGCCAGCAGGATTTTTGAGAGAAAAGGGGAGGTTAGAAAGCTGCTGCATCAGAAATTCTCCTTAAAGAAGAATTATTATTAGTGATTGAATATATGCGGAAAATGAAAATCTTACTCTGATATAATCTTTAAATTGAAAGAAAATAAAAGATATCAAAGAAAGAAAGGCTGATTATGTCCTATAGCATCTGATATTTTATTTAACTCGTTATATCAAATTATGCTTCAAAGTGTAGGTAAGCTGTTATTGATGACCGCATTTGAAGATATGAAGTTCTTTTCCCTGTTTAGAACTGATTGATCGTATGACAGGTTTGCTTGCTCGGCAAAGGAGAGGAGAGTTGAAGCGGTTGAATGATCAATTGCGCCAGATCAATGCAGCCTTGAGGAGGCAAGCGAAAGTTGAGTCTTATGCCCCCAGCTTGAGCTATGCTCCCATTGGTTGCAGGATATCTGAGAATGAAGTTATAGTTGATTCAAGGAAGCAGGACCTTATTTCTAAATTGAAAAAGGGGAAGAACTTTCTGAGGAATCAAGAGCCAGATAAAGCATTCAAGGAGTTTGAGACTGCGCTTGAGCTTGCCCAGAACTTGAAAGATCCAATTGAGGAGAAAAAAGCCACTAGAGGTTTAGGTTAGTTTCCTTTCCTTTTGCTTTTTGGGTGCCTCTGTTTCTTGTTCTCTTCATTTGAGCGAAGTTTCCTGGGTGTTTGTTATTAAGTTCTGCAATATAAACAATTGCTTGCACAAAAACTTTCATAAACAAACTAATCATGTGATGTTTGCTAGAAAACAATATTTGCATGTTGGATTTTTTATTAGAGAATCTAATCTAATAGCAAATATTTTAAAAACTGTACTTTTATTTTGTCCTTCCTAAGAAGTAGTTGGCATTGGATGTAGGCACAAAAAAACTTTTTGCTAGTCTACATATATGAAAACGAAGCCAATTACATATTGTAGATATGAAATCAGATCGTGGGGCACATTTTTAAGTGAAGTTTACATGTGAAAAAGTTACATATTTCTTTGATTGAGTTTGTCTCAGATTACCTTGAATATCAGTAAAAATAACTGCATGTTACAGGAGCCTCGCTGCAAAGGCAGGGTAAGTACCGAGAAGCTATTAAATACCATTCCATGGTATTGTCCATCTCTGAAAGAGAGGGTGAAGAATCTGGCAACACAGAAGCTTATGGAGCGATTGCTGACTGTTACACTGAGCTCGGAGACCTTGAACGAGCAGGACAGTTCTATGACATGTATATTGCAAGGTTTGAAAGACTGATATTAAATCATTCTCATGTTCAGCATTTCTTAATCAGCAGAAGAGTGTGTGACTGTAGAATAGCAGTCAGAGTTCCCTGATGGCTTGACACCATCTATTTCCTGCGGATTTTTACGTTCGCTAGTCGAGTTACTGGATTCCTTCTTTGAATAGTGACATTTTCTGGCCATTTGAAGATAGACTATACATATCGTAAGTATAACAAGTGATTCAACTTTGAGATAAAAGTGGCATTAATGTGCTGGCTTTTTTCCGGGTGTAATGTAGCCATGCTTTTTTTATTTTCTTTTGGGGGAACCATTTTGCCTTCTGCTATTGAAGCAATGTTTCCACATTCAAATAGACCAAATTGTCCGCGTAAATAAAGATAAACATGGATTTTTTTTTCAAAAAAAAAAATTGCTTATATTTTCAATAAGGAGCATTTAACTATTATTCTCCCACATTTTTATTCCTACATTACCGTACCCTCCTGCTTGGCCTCTATCTTTCTTGCATAGTTTTTTTGTTTTAAAGTTATCATACTTAATGTTAAAGAACTACCCATTTTGATTTCAAACACACAGAACTGTATTGGTGACAACTTATTTTAAAATATTTTTGGTGGTATTCTTACTATGATTGTTGCCATCAATTTATTTTGTTAAAGATAACAAGACATTAAATATCATGATATAAAAGTATTATTGTCAATATAACATTTGCCTACTTTCTCGCTATTTTCTCCTCCAAGGAGAAATTCATTACCTATCCATTCTCTCTCCTCGGCTTTTCTCCCACCCAACCCAAACAAACAAGAGACTGGGACATGAACATCACCAATAAACTACTCCACTTTTCTTTCTCCAGAAGTTGGGCCCAACATAACTTGGCAAAAACAGCTAGTACGTTGCACCTAATTTCACCTCCAATTTGACTTACCAAGATGTCATTTTTCTTCCTGTGTAAGAAACCGTATTTCTCCTCAATAATCAGAGTATCAGACAACCACCACAACGGATATAAACATCAACCATACAGTGAGGCAAGAACGGTTCAAGCGACAATAACCATGTGGACGCCACGATCAGCCACATCAATCGAAGGCACATCACTAAATAAGGACTTGCGGGATCAAACTTTAACATTTCACTAAACTAACAGCCTCTGCATAGGATGATCATGGAATGAGGTTGAAAACGTCACACGATGTACATGAATATTAATTACGTTGGATAAATCACCAACACCCCCAAATAAGGGTAGACAGGGAAGAGAAAATTTCAACAGCCTCAATATTTGACCACTCATCACTACTAATAATAGAACTGCATACATGATGATACAGAGCCATATAGATTACCATATCTAATTATGGTGGAGCCGACAACCACACTACTGTACGGAAAAAAGAAAACGAGAAAGCATTAAACCATATAACGATAACCCCTTTATGTATCACTGGTAGTACATCATTTGTTGTGCAGCAACATTCTGGAACCCCCCATCATAAATTGCCTGACTTCCTCCGAGTGCTGCCTGTTTAAGAGGTTGCTGCCCTTGGGGATGCATCAGGGCATGGATACCACCCATCTTGCTCATTGCTAGCTGACGCTCATAGGCCAGAAGATCAGAAGCAGAGAAGCCAGGCATAGGTGCAGCAGCAGCAGCAGGTGGTGGAAGAGGATTTGAAGCAGTTCCAGGAGGAGTGGGCTTGCTCCCCCAGGAGCACTATATAGCGAATGGACAACAATGATCAGAATCCGAATAAAACAGCTCAATGAAAAATATAATACAATTTCACTTTTATGAGTAACTAAGAGTGAACATCAAGAAAAAACTAAAGTCAGCAAACAATTCCCTCTCTTGACTTAATCCTCTATTTTTTTGGGGTTAAATAAAGTTTAAGTGAGGTTTTCTTTTTTTTTTTTTTTTAAAAAACACCTTAGTGTGAGTGAGTTGGAACCAAAAAAGCTGACCAAGATAAGAATAGGCTCCGGCTCAAAAGCACTTGCAGAAATATTTATAGATTACTCACTAACGTTATTCTGGCAGCACAATTTTAGCTCATGCCCTCGTGGAATATGAATCCTTACCAACTATACTAATTTTCATTGGCTCATCCTCTGAAGTATTAAAATAACTTAATCTCAACTCAAGTATCCAATCAATACCATGCGTTTAAGCATTTTTAAAATGATTTAGACACACCTGCCAGTGCTCGCTGACAGGCCCTACCAGTACACAATAGAAGAAACCTAATTAGACACGCAGCAGTGCCCCCTAACATTAAATGGGCTATTAGTTGAATCCTGATTCACATGGTACAAGACAAACCTACTTCAGCTTAATACAAAAACATTAATCTTAAAAATCAAGATAATCAAAAGATCAACATGATAAAAAAAACACAATCGAATGGGCTGGGAATCAAGATATATGGCAAGCCTGAACTTACCAGTGAATTTTACTCAAAACAGAACACCGATGATTCTGCTAGTGCATGGATTACCAAACACATCACAAGTAACAGAAACTATACACAGAAGAGAAGGATGACAATGACTCCAAGATTTTCAGAGGCTAAGCTCTCCTGACCTGGAAAATTCCCTACCATCCCTCTCAGCAATTCTCACTTAATAGAAAACAAAGCTACCCATCATAATTACGTAGCCAGAATCCTCATTTGATGCCTGCTAGGCCTATTCCATGAACCCTGTTCTACCTGATGAAAGTCCATAGTGCAACCTTATTTTTTTAGTGGCCCAAAACTCTGATAAGACAAAATATATGCAACCCTGTCCGACCTGATTAAAGTCCGTAATGCACCCTTACATTCTGAATAGACAATGAATGCAATCATCCCCATATTAGCAATGGCAGAGTATCGTGTGTTCACCCAAACAAACAGAGAGGTACCCTATGTCCAATCTAACTTTCAGATTGCCAGTATATCACCAAACATGTGCCCCTTGTCCATGATTGGCAAAATTTTGAAACCAAACAAATGAAATAGAGTCAAAACTAACTATACCATGGACAACTACTACTAACCATTAAAATTATTGTTTGCACAGGCAGTATCAAGTTAGAGAGAATACATCATTTTACACACCAAACTAGTGAACAAAAATGAAAAGTATGTGAACAAAAAACAAGCAACGATAATGTTATATAGCAACTGGAGACCATCTCAACAGATGAACAACACACCTTAATTTGTTTACCCAGGAGAAAAGACTGGGCATTCCCCATCTGAATAGCCATTGCTGCTTCAGCATGAGTACTGTACCTCACAAAACCAAACCCTTTATCACGCTGGACTCGAACCTCCTCTATCGCACCAGCCCCAAGATTATGAAAGTGGCGATGGAGATCAAGCTGGGTTACCTGAACAATAACCAAAGTTCTCAATTAAAATCACAACTGCCACCGAATTCAATGTACAGGTAACAGCTTAAAACAACCCATATATTGAATTAAAAGAACAAGAGATGACTATGGAAGGTGAGTCATTCTTGTACTTCCAGTCAGCAGACTAGTTAAAAAGAAAAATATTCCAGATTATTCATTCAAGATCTCAAGTACATGTGCACCATCTCATGAATAGTTCAGCGAATTAAGTTCACTGTACTAACACTTCCAACCTAGAGGTCCAAAAGGAAAGATACTCCAACAGAAAAGCAATAAATCAGTGACATCTAAAGTACAAATTTCAGCAATGCAATTGAACGTGAACTTTGAAACGTCACTTGTGTTGCCAGAAAAAGCTACTAGACCATTCCCCAGAATTGTGGATGGTCAACAACGTTAGCACTAAATCCAACATACAAATGAGGAAAACAGATTCTTGCCTCTGGTGCAAGATTTCCCACATAGACAGTAGTATATTGAGGATTATTCTCTGGGGCATCAGTGTTACTTGTCTCTTTACCATCTTCTGCACCATGACAGGAAAAACATCTTAGGCAGTCCCCATATATTAACAAGAACAAAATGCAACAAATAACATATCAATATCAACAAACACAGCCTTTATAATTTATTTACAACTCCAACCACTTGTTTATGAATGTTAAGGAAAAAACGCAAAAGATTGCTACGAAATACCTAAAAACATCCCAAACCCATCTGACGTAAGACACGTGTGCGCGCACAGATTTGAGAAAAGGGAGAAAGGAGGGAGAAAAAGAAACAGAGAGAGGGAGAGGTTAGAGGCAGAAACAGAGAAGGGAGAGGGCAGGCAGAGAAAGAAGGAAGGGAGAGACAGACGAAAGAGAAAGGGGGAAGCTATCTGAACACGCAATCACAATATTTCATTTATCAAGAGTACATTACAAGAGCAAAGCCTAATCTATTTAAATTAAACTTTCCTACCTATTAAGGAAACCTTAACAACTTGGCTAGATAAAGCTAATGTTCAGATTTCCCTCTTTACAGAAGTATTAAAATAACACAAAAGTAATTTGCCTCTTCCTAGATAGGTTTCTCACAAGCAAAATACAATGACAATAAGCTACTAGCCTAGGTTTCTTTTCTTTTCTTTTTTTTTTTTTTGATAATCAAAGTGCAGCAAACTAGCTGCTAAAGCCAATACGGACTAGCCTAGGTTTCTTCCTATAGGAAATTTCTTCAAAATATATTAATTCTTATATTTCATCACCATCATTAAAAAGGAAATGCATAAGCTGAATAAAGAAATAGTTTTGTCCATCAACATTGTACTTATTGAAAATACAGTATAATTTACTCACCAGATGAGCCATTTGTGAGTTCAACGACACTTTTAGCATCTGAACTTTGTTTATCCTCACTAGAACCAGCACCTTTTGCTGCCCAGTTGCAGCGTATTTGTCTACTACCAAGCCATTTACCTGAAAGAAAAAGCTTAGACATCTTTACTCAGCCACCAAACAGAAGTGCAAGATGAGAATGAGAACATAACCCCCAAGCAATTAAATGCATAAAAAGAGAGGAACTTCTAAAATAGTCTCAAAAATATTTTGCCATCTTGAAATACTTGAATTAGTTTTACCCATTTTGTAAATCATAAAACAAAATTCGAAACTACAAAACAGTCTTGCAAAAACTTCCCAATCATTAACAAACAAGACCAGTAATACTTGATGCCCATCTAGCGAAGAAGAGTACACAAAAACCAACTTCAATACATTAAAAAAAGATTCTAAATATGCCATTTGTTTAAGTTGGAACATTTTTTGTTAAGCTGACATAGAACGATGCAAACTCAGAAGATTGATCAAATACTAAAATGGCTCAAAAATACAAAATTTCAAAAGGGAAACAAGAATGCAGGATAATGGTGAATTTCTTACCAGTTAAATCATTTATAGCGCCTTGTGCATCCTTACAATGGAAAGGTAAAGGAAAAAGGCAAATTAAAGATTGTATAAAGAACATTCCTCTAATACATGAAACCTGAGGAAATAATAAAAAAGAACAAGCTGAAATGAACCTGTTGATTACGGAATGAAACAAATCCAAACCCTCTTGATCGTCCAGTTTTCTGATCCCACATAACCCTTGCATCTCTAAACGGCCACAGAGACTAAAAAAATTAGGGTGGTCCATGCTGAAACGCCAGCTAAGTTATCAAGTATAAAGTATGCCTTGCCCAATTATTGCATTTTTTATATGAATAGTTCCTTTTGAATAGAAACTGATTCAATCTTGAGCAGAGAATCAATGGCATATTGAACAAGAGTGCAATACAAATATGAAGCTTACGAGCAACTGGGGTAGACGGAAAAGCAAGCAAACAATGTAGCATCAGTAACCTCAGGACTAAGATCACCAACAAATATGTTGTAATGACCTGCAAAAGTAAAATTCACACATCATAAAATAATTAAGTTCCTAAAGGTTCAAAGAGTAAGAACGATATACATAAGTATATTGCGTGTATGAATAACCTGATGTATCCTCTCTCTGCCCGCTAGCATATGCCCAGTTAACTTTGATCGGCTGACCAAACCTGTGAAGCAATTTAGGTTAACTTTTTCACCAGAGAAGAAATAATAAACAAGCGTGAACTAAACTAACAGAGATGTAAAGAGAAAGGATTACAAGTGCCTTCCATTGAGAGATAATATGGCAAGAGCAGCTGATCTACGATCAAAATAGTGAACAAATCCATAGGATGACTGCGCAATAGAAACACCACAATGTCAAATAAAAAACTTCACTGTTAGCTGGAACTTCAAGACAATAAATTTAAAAAGAGAAAACCACATCAGATTTTGAAAACATACCTTCTCTTTTCTAATAAGTTTACAACCTTCAACTGGACCATTACTTGCAAAAAGTTCCTGAAGCAGCGACTCTGTTACCTGTGGATGAATGTTCCCCACATACCTGCATTTTCTCAAAGATGAAGAAGCTAGAATTGTAAAAAAGAAAAAAAAAAGAAAAGAAACAAAAGAAATTAGGGCACAGGCAGTCAAGTTTAGTGAAAAAAACAGCAGCAACTAAAGGGAACATCTCGTTACAATCAAACAGGTTTGAAGTGAGAGCATATACTCAAGAAATAAACAACAGCAATCAAATGCCCTCATCAACGTTCATCATTTAAAATGCAGTCAAAGAAGATACGAATCAAGCAGCAAATACCTAAGATTACTTAAATCACAATCATGAGGAGACCAAACAAGATATAAAATAAAAAAGGGAGAAAGGAAAAAAAATGTCAAGACAAACACTCACACACTGCGGCAAGAACTTGGATCAAAACCAGGAGGCAGATTTCCACTTGGAATTGGTTCAATCTGCAAAAATAAAAAATTGAAAAAGAAAGGAAAAAAGGGAACAAATCAAGATAAAAAGTTTTGCACTGAACCCACCAATATAGTTGTGCAAAAACCATGTATTTGGGATAATAAAAAGGAGTGAAAGCAGTAGAAGCTTAAAACTTCATTGTAAAGCCACTATAAATATTGCTTACTGTAGATGTTTTCTTAATTAAAATTTGTGATATACCCATTTCCAAGCACCTCTAAATACTTAACAGTAGCTAGATGGAAAGATTCAATTTCATTTCTCAAGGCCAAACATGTTGTGTGTAGCTTACTTTTACAGAGCAAGCAGGTTGCTAGGTATATGTCATTGTAATTAAACTGACAACCCCCTCACCGCCTACCTTTCTTCCCCCTTTATACACAAGCAAAAGGCGATGAAGAAGACACGAAAATAAACAAGTGAAGTAATGTCTATATTTTTTCACATTAGTTTGGATGAATGCCACTTCAAAATAAAAGCTTGGAGAACCTGATAGGGCATAAAACTTGAGATTTTTGGACTTTGGTTATGAGTTTCTCGTTCCATCTGACAGGCCTTTGCCCATCACAATCAATTATTGCTTAATCATATGCTACAACATTTACATATATCAGAGAGAAAGAGAGAGGAGTATCAAAATCAAAGAGAGTACTTTAAAAAAACTAATAAAAGATGCTTGAAACAATTTGAAACCTATTGGCCACCTCAAAAATATAGTAGGTGGTAATAATAGTAATAAAATCCAAGCAAAAGCATAAAAAGAAGGGAAGAGCCAAGTGTAACCTCTCCTAAAATGACCAAAGATTCCAAAACAAATGATGTTAAACAGGTGGAAATTTTTTTTTTTTTTTTTTTTTTGGTTGAAAAGAGACGGGAAGCATCACGGTGCAAACTGCAAAGACCTAACTTCGAACAACCAGTTGAGACAGTGCTTAATCATGCACAATTATGACACAGTGAGGCAGACAAGTTTTAATCTTACTTTGAAATTGCATTGCCCACAATAACAAATGCCAAAACAGAGAGATACCCAATTATAAAAGAAAGGAAATGCACACAGAGCGGGAGAAAAATGGACATTTCAAAACCCAAATTGCAACAAGCAGCAATTAATCATGTATCCAGCTCTATAAAACCTCTCGTCTTTGAAACAAACGCGGGCAGCCCAAATTAACCCTAAGTGCTACAAGCATCGACCCCAAAAAAATTAATCATCAAAAGATGAGAGAAAAAAGTATACGATCTAGGAAATGACCGAAAGTTGAGACGAAATGAGAGGTAAGTGGGTCCAACCTGAGGAGCAGCTAAGAGGCCAGGGTGGTAGAGAGACTGTTGTTGCATAAGAGCTTGTTGCATAAGAGCTTGCTGCTGCTTCAGCCTGGGATTCTGCATCTTCTGGGAGATTTTCCGAGAGGGTCAATTAACCGATTAGGGTTCGAGAAGGTCTCCAAATTTAGCCCTCGGGTCAAATGAGAGAGGGATAAGAAAGATAGAGGCCTTCAGAAAACCAGAGGAATCATCACTTTTAGGCTTCAGGAAAACAGGCAAGAATCCCCTCAAGGGTGGGATCGTAAAATATAACCGCTGGATCAGATGCATGGCCCAGATTGTGACACATGCAAGAACATTTTAAAAACTTGTAGCGTGATGAGTAAATTGCAACAACAAAAGTTTTTTAAAAACAAAAGACCAAAATGAAATGCATAGTTTTGGTTTTAAAAAAATATATTCTGCAGCTTAACAAGATTGCCATGGTAAAAAGATTTTTAATGGCATAAATACCATAAAAAGAATAAAATTAGACTTTAAAAATAAAAACACGTTTCGTGTGTCCAAACAAAACTTCAAAATGAAATATGAGATGAATGATGTGAACCCACGAGGCCGCGAGTGAGAGACTGAATAAGTAGGAGTCTAGAGAGTTTATTACCAAAGAGCGAGTGTCTTCACTAATCTAACAAGGGAGAATGACGTTTAAGTTTTAAAAGAATTAATTAATTTCAGCTAAATTCCAATCAATTTTAGAGTATCAACAGACCCTCTTAGTCCTTTAATGATAATAAGTCTAATATATTCAAAAATTTACAAGTTTAACTCTTAATTTTGTAATTTTATTGTGATACATTTGCAATTTATTTTTAAAATTTTTATCAGATTGAAGAATAATTAAACAATAGACAATGAAAAAATGGAGAATCTATTTTTTATTAATAAATAGGAAATAAGTAAAGAATAAATAATAGACTTAATATTTTTTACTATTAAATATGAACATTTATATTATTTGTTAAAATCTAAAAAATAAGTCACAAATTCATTACAATAAAATTGTAAAATTGGAAACCCAACTTATAAATCCCTAGAGCTGTTAAACTAAATACTTTTCAATATTAAAAATGAGCATTTGTGTTCCCTCTTGAAATTAGGAAAATAAATTACAAATGCATTACTATGAAGTCACAAAATAGAAAGCCGAACTTACAAATTTCTAACACTATTAGACTTAATACTTTTTAACATTAAAGATAAACATTTATGTTTTCTGTTAAAATTTGAAAAATAAGTTATAAGTGCATCATAATAAAGTTGCAAAATTAGAGGCTGAACTTCAAAATCTTTGCAAATCCTTAGTATACTTATTACAAATGAAGGATCAAAGGACTTTGTTGCATTTTGAAATGGGATGGGACTTGACTTAAATTGATTAGTCTTCTTGAGACTTAATTGTCATTTTCCTAACTTAAAAAGCAATCACAAATTGAAATGAGATTAGGATAAAAAATTTTGTAGGAATAGCACAAACCAAAATTTTTTTCAAGTTTAGATGAAAACAGTCGCCCTAGTATTCTCAATATTAATGGAAATGAAGGAAAAATAAGAAAGATGTGATAGTGTTCAATGTTAAGATGGGCGAGTAGAGTGGTGGTATGAGTCCTTCTATTAACTCCTTTTCCCCAAAAAGTGATGAGAGCAAAGGTAAGTTAAAGGAGGATGAAGATACTTTGAGAAGAAACTTCAAGAAGATATTGATATTGATATAGAGGAAGAAAGGGAGGATTAACAGTACACTGTCATGGAAGAGAAAGGTAAAGCTACAAATGAGAACTTGATGAAGAATAGAGCCAAAGTGAATATGAATCAACCTACTACTAAGACTTCAATATCATACAAGGCGAAACTCTTAGGTATTGAGAAGTAACATGTCAAATGAAGTTTTGAAGAGCTAATGAAGGAATGGCTAGCTGAAGAGCAAGCCATTTACCCTCTCTTAAGCCCGATCAATAGAAATTTATTGATGGTCTCCCCACTTAGAGTTATCAAATGATAGGTTAAAGACTCTTTGCTTAATGTGGAAAGATCTTTAGTTATATGATTAATTGGTTTGAATCTATCCATATGGTCAATGAAAATTTGAACTCATTGATCTTCTTAATGGTTAATTTGTTTTTAGGACACAAAATAATGATCTTTGTCACAAGCTGTTATGGGAGAGACTTGGGATACTGGAGCATTACCTAGTAATTCAATGTTAGAGTCTAAACTTTAACCCATATAATAACAGTATCAAAAAGCTTGCTATATGGATTTGTGCACCTCCTTTGCCGACGTATTATTACTTAAAGGAGTTTATGATAGAAATTGACAACTTGGTGGGTAAAGCTTTAAAAGTTAATATGAAGACTTTAACAAAATGCAACAATTAAAACACGACTGTAAAAGAGGGAGATATGCTCAGATTAATGTGGAGATTGATGTAACCAAGCTGCTTTAATCCAAATTTGTTATAAGATATAAAATCTACCATATGGAGTATGAAGGGTTTGAAGTTATATTTTTTTGTTGTGGTAAATATGGGCATAAGAAAAGTGCCTACTACTACTTATTGAAAAATCCACAACAAAAGGCTCAACATGTCAAGATCAAATTCATCGAAAACAACCCATAAATCATCATTAGAAGCTCTAGTGTGCAATCCTAATATCCATGAAACTTAGATGCAATCCAAATAGCCTAATAAGAAAAGACCACCTATAACTAATGGTGGTAGGTTTTAGATTGGTAGAAGTAATGGTCAAAGTAAAAGTAGTGTCAGAGATGTGAAGTAAAGATATGACATCTGAAATGAAAAATCTTATGAAAAGTAAGATACCTATAAAAGAATGAAAGTTGGCAAAGAGGAAGGAAAGTGTCAAAATGAGGGCACAGATGAGGGAATAAGGGTGAAGAGTAAAGAATGCAACCTATAGCAACTTTCACTTTTTTTACTAGATATAATCTAGGCCTATCCAATAGAAAGCCTAAAATGGCTAAAAAGCAAATAGGCTTTGCCGTGAGTCTAAAAAAGAATGAGAAAGGAAGGACGAGGAATTTAAATAGTAGGCTAAAAGGTTTATCTCTTTTAATGAGTAAAGAAGGTGCTTTTAAAGAATGTAATATGGTGTTTAGTTCTCTATCTTGTGTGGATCCACTTAATTTAGGCCAAGATACTCAAGATGCTAAAATGATTGAAAGACAACCCATTGTATCCTCAAGGCCTTCATAAAACACAAAATAGCATAAAGAAGTTATCCTTGATATTAATAATCAAGTAGGAAAAGCTTCGAATAATCTTAATCTCTTCCCACCAGGCAAGCCCCCTGATGTGACCTTTCTGACGGTACAAGTTATAGATTCCGACTATGGAGAACTAAACAATTAATAATTTGAATTACAAGAGGAAGATAGGGAGGGCTTTTCTACTAACAATGACATAGAAGGAAGTCCAAGGGTTGATGCCTAAGTTGCTAAGGTTTTTTTATCCTTCATTTTCAATTTATGTTTATGATTATACAAGCTTAGAATTGTGGAGGTGCAACCTCTAAATCCTTTCAAACTAGATTTAAAGATGCTTTTAAGGGCAATAATGTTATGTTGCCATATTAATTGAAACACAAATTCAAGGGTAAAAAGCTAATAAAATCATTAAAAGGTTTGGGTTTTTTATATTGGATTAGGATTAAAGCAGTTGGGTACTCAGGAGGAATTTGGCTCTTCTGGGATACAAACGTAATTTCTAATAATTATGCTTTATGTATAGCTCAACTCCTGCACATGTTTATCACAATGAAAAAAAAGCAATAAATCCTTCTAGTTGTCTTGTATTTATGCAGAGCCAAATTACCTTTTGAGAAAGAATCTCTAAAAGGATTTAATTAGTTTGAGCAAGAATATTAATGAACCCTGGCTTGCCATTAGTGATTTTAATGCCTATCTTTCTCCGTCTAATAAAGTTGATGGGGTAAAATGTAACATAGCATTAATAAAGTATTTTGCTAATTATATTCAAAAAGCAAATCTCCTGGAGGTATAGTTCATTAAAGACAAATTTACTTGAGAGAAAATTTGTTGAAAGAATTGATTGATTGTGCTTTTACAAATTGGTAGTAGAATTTTTTTTCGAGCCTCTTGATAAAGTAAAATGTCTCAATAAGTATAGTTTTGACCATAGACCCTTACTTTCTGTGGTGAACCTTCTAAATCTCAAAGAGCTCATAAACCACTATTTATATGCCAGGATACATAGTTGCTAGAAGAAGATTTTGTAAATGTTGTTAAAACAAGTTGGTTCTCTAGCTGTCGGACTCAAAATATAAATAATTTTATCTCAGCTACTATAAATTGGAATAAGGACAGAAGTGGGAATCTAAATGAAAAAAGAAGAAGATTGATGAGAAGACTTAATGAAATTGATAAAGCCAGAGCTATAAGGGATAATATTTTTCTTGTTCAAACTGAAAAGGAGCTTTAAAAGGAATATAGTATAGTACTTGTGCAAGAGAAATTAGTATGGTTTTAGAAATCTAGGTGTAACTGGCTTATATAGGGTGACAAAAATAGTAAATTCTTTCGTGCCTCAACTATGGTTCGCTGGAAGAACAATAATCTTAAGGGGTTAAAAGATTAGGCTAATAATTAGGCCTCTAATTGTAGGAATATGTAGTATAAGAATCTTTTTACTAGTATGCCAAGAAATGGAGATGACTTGTTCATTACAACTTCTTTTCCTACCATATCAAGCTGTGATGAAGCTCTTCTTAATATAGAAGTTTCTAACAATGAAATTAAAGAAGCTGATTTTGACTTTAAAGCATTCAAAGCACCTGGTCTTAATGGTATTCAAGAGTTCTTTTATCAAGAATATTGGAACATTGTAGGGGATTCGGTTTACAAAATGGTAAACGAGGTGTTCCAAGATCTGAGTAAAATTAAGAAAGTGAATGAAACTCGTCTCATCCTTGTTACAAAGGTTGATTCTCTTGAGTATTAGAAAGACTATAGACTAATCTTCTTACATAATGTGAGTTATAAGATAGTCACAAAAATTTTCACTACCAAACTGTAGAGAATTATGGAGAAGATTGTAGGATAACATTAGGCTAGTTTCATGGCAAGGTGGCAAAGCAAGAATAATATATGGTGGCCCAAGAAGTTATCTACTTTATAAGAACTAAGAGGTTGAAACAACGTATAATAGCTATTAAGGTAGACCTAAAAAGAGCTTAT